GATCATCACACTCCATCAGCGCAAAGGTATCAGTTGTTTTAAGTCTTCTTAGACGAGCACACTCTCTGATAACGGGTGAGAAGGAAAAAGAATAAGAAATATTAAACATTACTGACGCCCTCAAGCAAAACGAATACTTAAAGGAATTCATCAACAAAATCAACACAGACTTTAGGTATGGTCGAATCGTATTGTGAAAACATGGACCTCAACAGTTGTCATTCCATATAGAGCAGAGGCGTCAGACGATGTCAGAAGAGTACTCAATCAGCTCAACAGCAGACTTTTTTCAAAACATCAGACACACTGTGAAACAATTTTGTCCAGATAAAAGACAAAATCCCTTAAGATTCTCTTTCTACGTGTGTCTATTAAATAATAGGAAGGTGAAATTACTTGTTGGATGCAATGTACAGTCTGCATCTTAGGTACTAGATGAAAGCAACGGAGATAGAGAGGATCTTTACATTACAAAATCTCCGCTTGGGCGGATTTAAAGAAGGTCTTTGTCGAACGTCCGAGTATCGTTGCTGATAATAATGTGAGTATAGAGCGTATGGTTCGTGATATGTATGACAAGGAATTCAACGACAATAGTTCTGTGGAAAGAGAACAGTCCGTCGAGGATGAGAAGGCAAACTGTGAAGCAGTGAACAAGTTTAGTGGTAAGCTTAATGTGAAGTCAGCGTCGTCAAGTTCTGGCTTCGAATTGTGTGGCGAGGATGTTGTGGTGAAGAAGCCTGTAGTTGCAACTGATAAGCCATTGTTGAATAGCGTGTTAGAGACGACATCACAGTTTGTGCAGGAGAAAAGGTTTACAGTTTCAAAGTCCAGTTCTGACTTCACAAGTTTACAAAATATTAGTGGTCAGAGTTATGGTATAAAACCTTTAAAGATTCATGAGGAAGAACCTAAGTCATCTACGGCTGTTATTAAAGAGGTTGAACATGATGATGTCAACCACATTAACGGTGGTCAAGTGGATATTTGTGACAATGGTTATTTTAGTGCTTATTTTTCTTTGGCTGATTATGATGAGATGAATGGAATACCTACTCCTACTGAGTTGAACAAAAGTTCTGTACAACTTGAACATGAAGTAGAATTAAAGTCAAATGCGCTTGCAGAACGTATGGATACTCATGAGACCGTCAGTGTAAATGATCCGCGTGTAGTCCACTTATCAACAGATGGCAATGCTAAACTGGAGACAATCATAAAAGGTAGCAGTGGTGGTAATCCTATGGTTAGATAAACTTCTAAAGGTCGAAAAATAACAGCTTCTGATGCACCGCTAAGTTCATCAACTTGTATCAGTCAGTCGTTGTTTGAGTTGTCATCCACAGTAAAACGGACGTGCATGAACCCATGTGACTTGTGCCGTGATTATGCTAGTATCAGTCCGTTTGAAAGGACGAAAGTCAATGGCCAGTTTAGTGATGATAAGCCAACTGTGTATGAAAGGGTAATTGGCAAACTGACTTGAACGAATGTTAGCCTATCAGGTTTCAAGTCACTATCTGAATGTTATTATCTTGGCTTGGTTGCTCATATATGTCATATGTTTGTTATTCATCTACATTCCAGAATAAAATGGCATGAGCATGTCACTATTCAGAGTTGACGGTAAAGATGATAGAAGGAGGTCATCAAATGAAATCTGCGACGAGTTTTCAACTTAAGGGCGTCAAACTGAGAAGGGTTGTAGGCGTACTGCTGTGAGTCCTACAATTCTTCAAGGGTAGCTCGTCAAGGCAGAATCCATGATATTTGATAAATTGAGTGTACATTTATTTTTGCTAAGTCACAGCGTATGTTCCAATTCATCTAATTGTTGGTTAATTTTATAGTTTTTGCATTGTGTGAATCATCTTGTAATATTATTTTAAGTACTTCTGAAGTCGTTTCGAGTCTTCTACAACTGTGAACGAATAGAGTGGTATTGCAGTCATTGTACGCCATTCCATACGCCGGGGAGGGATATTGTGCCAGAGTGACATGAAGCAACCAACACTCCGAGGACGAGACCAGTGGTGGTGCTGTCGACCGAGGGCGAATGGAGTTAAGATCACTGAAGAAGACCCTACACTCCGAAGAGGTGAACTAGCCTAGTCCCGCTTGGCCTAGTTTCCTGCGTTGGCAAATCAGTTCGAAGTTATTGCCTAGATTAAAAAAAGGGATGGACCGTTTCTTGCCGAGGAATGTAAAGAAAATGTGAACAATGAGCATTGGTTTACTGGCCTTGAATGCCATCGGCGGGCAACTCGATGTTGCGGATGATTCAATCGTGTATAAGTTGGAAGATAACGAAAGAATAAGAATATAAGCACAGTATGTTCCTTGTAAAACATTTGTTTTAATACTTTGTATCAATATAGATTTTAGTTGCCGAACAATACAAGTTATTGCAAGTCATGGTGTTTTGGAGTTAAAGTCGCTAATCAGTCATAGTAATTATCGATTCAGAGCGTCTTCGCAAATAATAGGAACTTAGTGTTAAGTTTTTTGACAAACGTCTTTCTGCATCTATTCCATTATGTGTACGTTAACCTCAAAATTAATAGCTTCAATGTAGCAACATTTAGTTAACCAGTTGACCAGATTTCTTCCTAATACTTTAATGAAACCCGATGCTTATCACCAAAGAAATTCCTCTTTCAATTATCGTTTACACTGGGAACGTATACAGCATTACTGATACACTGGATTTGGGTAGAATTCATATTACAGTTAAAGACTAAATGAACTGATGCTAAGTAACCGCTTGATCACTCCTGACTCTATTCCAACCCAGTGTTATGTCAACACAGGTTACTTGATGAGTAATATGACTGTTTTCAATGTGTTTGTAAACATGTGACAGCAGTCACCTCAGTAAATCGAAAAAAATTTGATTTTTCCTATCCAGCAATATTTTGAAGCATTTGGTCATATTGACCAAAAAGTCCTTACCCAAGAGTAGTTGGCTAACTGCACTTGGTAAACTCATAGATTCCTTACATTTATATTTTGCAATGTGCTCAGAAATCCTTAAATGAAATTTTCCTTTTCTCCCTTCATTGACCTGATACTGCTAGAACAAATAAATTTAAAAATCAGTTTACAGGTGACGTCAGTAAGGTATTAATCCAATTTAAACAAACTAACTGAATGTGTAGTTCCGCAGGACGATTCAAGCTCAGCTGCAGAGCAGTACATTTCTTTGTATTTTTCTGAGCTTTCTGTTTGTCATAATTTAAGAAGAATCTCCTTGTTTCTAAGACACTTCTCAACAAAGCTTGATTTCTTCTCCAGCTTGTTGCTTAAACACAAATTCTCGAATGTATCGAGTGGTGTCATTGACCTCTTCACCTTACAAAAAAGAAGCTGTAACATTGTAGGTATTGCCCTTCTAGAGTCGCTTTACTACGGGTGGACTTCTGGAGAGTACTGTGATTTCATTATCTCACATTTATCTGCAGGTAGTGAGATTCTAACAAGCAATTCAGACGGGTGATTTTTATCGTTGGAATCAATGTAGGTCTTGAATAATATAACTACTTTCACATGATACTTCACCTTTCATTTTTTTATGTGATCACTTTTATTAGATTGGTCACCCATACACTGTACATTACATGATTGCGTGTTTTAAGATTCACAAGTATTTCCACCCTGTTATTGTTGTTTCATTTAGCTAAGTTAATTACCACGCAGTTGACATATAATTCACATTACTTGATGGGGGATTGTGTTGAACAGTACTAAAAATGGTGCATATATGTTGTAAAATCAATTCAATTCCCATCCTTGAATCAAATCAACCTGTCAGCCTAGCGTTAATGCAACCCAATTATCCATGCCTAACGTGTCTATCATTTCTTGTTTAATGAACTGTGTGTTTTTACATCGATCCGTTTAGTCAGACCGTTGAACTCATGACCCAATCAGAGTATTTTGTGAGCTGTTATTTTTGCTGACTCATGTCTTACTTTGTACTATTCTGTCGAGTTTATCTTATTTATTGGTCTTCATCTGTATCAGCCTACCTGGTTAAGTAGTCAATTAAATTCTATCTTTGTGCCTATGCTCTGTCTATCTCTTAACCGCTCTCTGTTCCATGCCCTGCCTTACTTGGGTTCATTCTTCTACTGACTGCTTACCTGAACGGTCGTGTCTGATTCCGGCTAGTTCGCAATTTTGGCTTTAACGTTATTCCATTCTGATAGCGGTACCTTGCTTTCTGTTAAGCGTTGTGCTTTGTACTCTTGAAACCGTTAAGGTTTGTTGTATATATAATTATTGATTTGTTTATTAATAGCATTGTAGAAACAGTGACCGGCTTCTTGTTTGTTCTGGACCGGGATAGCCTTTATCTACGCGTGACTTAATTTCAAGCGATATTGCGCTTACATTCAGGTTATTCTCTTTTCTATTCGAAACATCTGAGAGATGTGAATAACTTTTTGATGTTCAGTGTTATTTTGAACACATTCCATTAATTACAAATTTTAATATTGCGGAAACAAGAGCACTGAAAAGATAATGTTGACTCATTTACATGGTTTATAGAATGAAGCTTTTAATTTCGTCATTCTCAGATCATGATATGTCTCCATAACATGGATGACGAATTTGCTGCATTCGGATGACGCATATTGTGACTGAGAATTTACAGTCAAGATATTAAACTATACACTGTGGTTAACGAAATATCCTTCAGATAACGAACAGGCGCATTGTTAACCTCCACTTGGCTAGATCTTAACAAGTCAACCTTGATATTGTAGTTCATGGGAATGTGCGTAGTAAATAACTTGAAAATAGTGAGGTGATAGGATTTCTTTAGACGTATATATGCCTTGAAGTGTTTTGCAAAGAATTACACTTCTCCTCATCAGCCAAAAAACATAATCCTCAATTTGTGCGCAAGTGGTTAGACTATTTATTCTAATTAGCTACTTCATTCTCATATATCCCATTATAGTGAAGAGATAGAAAATTTCAACTGAAACAAGATCTTATGAAGGAAAATGTTATATTTAATAAAACTAAAAAGAGATATTCAAATAATGTGTTCCCTTCACCAATCCTGTTTGAATTCCCTTGGAATCGAATTCACTCTCCTGCAGCTGAAACAAAATAACACCGGAAGCAAAGTATAACTAACAATGACGTTAATCATCAGGTAATACTTCTAGTGAAGACTGAAACACAGATTAAGTGTAAACTTTATCTACTTGATTTCAAGTTACAATTCCCCTCACACAAAATTAGCCATGTTCTCAAAAATTGTTATAATCCTGATACTGTCTACAACTGACAAACTGTGATCATGTAACCAGTCGGTCAGCAGATCAGTTATGATGTGCTTTTTAACTGATAAGTGATCGAGAAATGCGAGTGAATTGAATTTCATTTTAATTTTTTTCTCAAGCATTCATCTGGCCGGTTTCATCTAACGGCAAAATCCATTTTCAAGTTCATATTCAATTGTGCAATTAGTTAGAAGTTTAGAATATTCTCAGGATCAAAATAAGAACTTACTTCATTAGAACTGATTGGCATCTTCCTTCATTTCAGCCAGAAGCCATTTTATTCCATCTTCTAAGGTTTGGTCTAATCAGTTCTAAATCATTTCAATATTTCAACTTACACTTTAAAAATTCAAACCTCGTCATTTCCAATAGTTTTATTCTGTCTTTTAATTCGTCTAAAACAGTGAATAGATTGTCAGTGATGCATTAGTACCATTTTCAATGTTACATTGCAACAATATGAAATCCAATTTAATAACTATGTAAAATTACCTATGGCGATGTCAAAATCAGTGCGAGCCTTCCAGTACGCTTCCGTAATTTCATTATCGTTCAATGAGTCTGAAAGAAATAATGACCCGTTATCAAACTCATAGACACATACATACTTGACAATATTGAAGGGAAATACCTCATTCAAATACATTCAGTGGGGAATGAGATATGCACATGTAATTTGTGAGCATTGCATTTTCAATAAGTGAGTGAGGTCCTAATTTAATTTATCGTCTGTTCGGCCTGTCGTCCTTATCTTCCTATAACCTTCAAATTATAAATCTTCAAGAAAGAGTCACTGTCAATTCAAAGTGTCATTTTATATTCTGTTCATATTTGTTCATACTTTATTTGATGATGGCTTGTTGACAACCACATTTTTAATTATTTGCAAATCCAAGCTAGTCACGATGATCTCATTCTCTGGTAAACGTGAACTTTGGAAGTTTCTTGCTGTAGAAATGTCATTATTTTCAATCAAAGGTGAATCCCATGGTGCTTAGTGAAGAATACATTTTTAACTTCAAAATATTTTCGGTCAGAATAAAACTGTTTGCTCACCATATGTGGATATTCCCTTCCCCACACCTCGCAAATAAGCTAATTAATAATAATAACACAATCATATGATACGATTATGAGAGATAAAGTGTCCCAGAAACGTATTCCAATTATGAATACTGCAACAATGTGTGTTAAATTCACTGGACTAATCTAATATCGACTTTAATTTTACCACAGCGTAAACTTTTCCACTTCGACAGTAAACGTCATCTTCACTAAAATTACCACACCAATATTTTGAAAAGCCTGACTCTCCGTCTACTCTTCTGTATGCCTCCGAGTATATAGCAAGTGCAAGTCGATCTTGATTTCACGTCATCCACAGAGTTCATCAGGAATTGCATAATATATGTAGAAAATTATGTTTGTCAGGTGTCCTTGTGTTGACGTTCAGTTAAACAATCCTACGTTTCACATACATTCATCACAACGTTCATCCAATCGTTAATCATATTAGTCCTGTACATGGCTACACTGAACCTTTAAGTCCACTAATCCAATTAATGAATACGTTCACTCACTTTGAGTTCCTCTGTATCGGTGAGTTGCGATGACTACCATCGTTTCCAGCACTTTAAGGTTAGCTAAGAAAACAAAAAGTTGATCAAGAAACTTAATGTCATGTTCGTTATAACACAATTTATTGACAATCCGAAAACGTTTTGTAATAATTTTATTATTTTCAACACCATTCCTCTCACAACTAAGTGAATATATTAATTTTAAAGAGCCCACTGCACTCATCACGAAAGTAGTGCCAAAACTTCGGTGATAAAACGGGCCTCCCTTATATTTTAGAGAAGTTATTTTACTGGTTATGAAATGAATAATGACTAGAAATTAGTTATTATGTGTGTTACTGATGAGTGATTGCAGCACTTAACGACTAACTACAATTACAATGACGAATGAATTTTCATACTAACAGCTCATTATTCTTTGAACGTAGTGTGCAATACAAATTTACACAATCATTTTACCTTTGGTTGTATTCACTGCTTTCTTTGCTTCTTTGAAATCCTTCTTTTTTATTGCAATAGGGACTAGAATTTAATTGTATGGAAAAGTTTGAAATGTTTCATTGTGTAATCTTCAGTGTGAAATAATCATATTAAAGCAATGGCTACTGACTGTCACAATACCCGGTCCAACTGACCACATGATATTTTGAGTACTTACTGACATCAGTAGAGAAAATGCCTTCTTTAGGTTTTAGCTGCGTTTATACGGCACCTGTGCCCATCTTCAATAATGACTTGACTTCGTCCATTATGGAACAATAATTGTTTGCATAGAATATTAAACTTTTATACAATAATTTGTAAAATCATTGAATGAATAAACGTGTTGATGGTTTCGCATGATAAAATTTGTATTTACAAGGACAGCCTACATATTGAGGAGTGTCTGCATGTTAAGGACTGACTTTTGCTACTGATTAGATTTGTAAGTAAAATATTAAGAAACGTTCATCAGAATAAAAACATCAAATGAATTTCAAAATGAAACAAAACCAACTTTTGTATTTTCTTAAATTTTCTGATGGCTCCGTCCAAAATTGAGCTGGAATTGAAACATCACACTGTCATTCAACTTCCAATCATCCGATGAATCCAACATTATTATAATCGATTTACACAAAGATAGATTCATCTGAGGTCAGTTCAAATGACACCAACACAGTTTCCTTTTTTACGAAGTATACAGCTTTATTAGAAAATGCTATCAAACCATCGAGTAAGTGTACTGTCACTCACATATTGATGGCAAGCAGTCAGTTTTTGACTGATTTTGATGACAAAATATGAGGAATTGAATACGTTTATGGTGTTTACTTACTATCAATTATTCCCTGAAATACTCTCCGTTATTTGGATGTTGCATTTACGCAGAAATATTCTCATCATTCTCAAACAAGTTTGAATATCAGTGCTGATGATGAAGTCACGGAAATCCAGAAGCCTCAAAAAAACACGATCACGAAAAGAAATCAGTGAGAGGAACCACTGAAATGTACAGAACACTGCTACAGAATGTCGTTTTCGCCTGAAGCGCCATCAATTCATGATTTATTCAATTTAGGACTATCAGTAGGTGATGTATCATGTTCTCTTCCTTATTTTAGTCAGAATTCACACTCGTGGGTGTAACAGGTAAGAGAAAACATCACCGTTTCGATGTCGTTTAGTAAAGTTTCTGTAAAAATGAAAAGGTTACTGTGGCTTTGCGCACTTTACCTAATAAGGAAGAAGAAAATTTACTTTCCTACAAGAAATATCAAATAGCCTACTGCCTTTCTAAATAGTGGAATCATATAAAAATTTTACCTTCTGCAATATCGAGATTTTTTCGATTTTCCCATTTCTTCGCAATATGCCTCTTCATCCGATTGTATAATCGCTTATTAGCTGAAGGAATAATAAAATTCACTTGGTTTAATGATTATTCATAAGGTTTGTACAAAGTGGACCAGTTGATGTTTTGATCTGTGGAATGTTCCTTCAACATGATGACAGCGGTATGTGGTAGTATGAATCACTTTTAGACATCCAATAGATTCCACTGAATTGACCTAAGTTATGTGTAACGTATTGTAAATGTTGTCAGGTTTCTATGACAATTGTGTCCTCAGTCAATAGACAAATAAGCTGGAGATTTTATGAATATCAGTGGAATGCGATTTGTTGTAGCAGTAGACCTTAGTAACAAATCAATAAAAAGAACGAATAAGAGAGCGGTCTACTCTGGTAAGAAAGGTCGTAACGGTGATCAGATTTATCCTCACGGAGAAATATTTTGGTAGAGAAAAGAGATTGACATGGTTGAAAAGTAAGTATGATTGCATATTGAAATCATGACTTGACACAAAATACCAGTTCAAAATGTTGTATGTTTTCTTCACAGAGCTGGTCACTTAATTTCGACGAACCAATAAATTTAAGATTAAGTGTTATTACAACTTTTAGTAAGGAAAAATCAATCATACCAAGAACTTTGTACTTAAAAACATCATCTTCTTCTAATGCCTTCCTGTATTCATCTACAATGAAAGGAAGCATTATTTGGTATTTATTGAATTCCTTAAATAGCCAAAAATCTGCAGTGTGTTTTTGTACACTTTGATAATATGAAAGTGTGAATTAGGTTCATTCATAAACAGATGATATTATAAACAGTCATTTCTAAATAGAACAGTAAGATACACCTCTACCAGTGGATATCAGTGATGAATGTTGTCGCTGGCATCGGTCTGAGCTAAAAGAAGCACGGATCTGATTGCACAAATGTGAATCATCATCAAAAATAGGCTGGAATGGTAATCAACTGTTAACCTAACCCTCGCCGAATCTTGGAAGACTTTTGACAACACGGACGACAGAATAACTTCTTGCTTCACCAACACTGTCAAGTGCTGCATACTTTGTCGCATTTCATTCAACAGGAGAAGGGTTATGCATCAAGCGAAACATTCAATCGAAAATTTCAATCAATCACTTTAAGTTGAGACTAGGCTTTCTACTAGCACCTATGGTATTCTGAACTGAACCATTCAAAACATCGTTGGGAGTGAGCATCTCACTGTTTCACCCAGGAAGGTAGCGTATGAATACCAGTTGTAGTTTGATAATGTAACTGAATAACTGTGGACTTATTCAACAATTCAACATTTCATTGAAGTAAAACAGTTACATAATCAAAGTTTCAAATTTGTGTATATGAACTTGAAATATTAATGAATGGTAAATTATATTCGGGATGTTAAGGGTGATGCATTTTGTTTCATTGTATCACACATGTTTTTAACAAGCTAATGCTGAAGAGGACATTTAAAGAGAAAGCAAGTGATGGTGGAGATTGTTTCATCAAATGTACTAGACTGCAATCGTATAGGTGAGCGATAATTGCTTCAGTTGTTAGCCTTGTCAAATAAAAATCAAGTTCAACATTTCCGATGGCATCTGTCGCACAAAATGATCGCAAGTTGGTGATCATTCCACAAGCAAAAAGAAGATGGTTTTGTCTTCAGATAAAATGTGATTTTCTCTAATGTACTTTGTTTATTATTTAAGGAGGAAACAGCCTACCGTTATAATGATACACAAGCTTCTTATCTTCTGCACGAATAACTGTACAAAATTAGATTATTTTGAAAAATTATTTACTTGTACTTGAAGCACGTTAAGAAGTGAACAATAAGAAAACATGAAATATGGACTGATGGTTTGTCAGATATTAAAAGTACAAGGAATCAATACAAAACACACAAGCTGTTTGTTTTCACCCTCAGTAAATAGCAAGTTGTTTGAAGCGTTAGACGACTTATCCACCTGACTTAACTCTTTCTACACTGGAAGGAATATTGGAAGGTGAATCAACGGCATTCATTATGCAGATGGCCCGACGTGATCATATTTCATGTTTAGATTTAGCATTTAATGCCATGGGAATTGAAAGGATATGTACCGAAATACTTTGCAAATGCATTTCTCAACTCAGAATTACCTCATACAAGTTTGCAGACTGCTAACTGTGAGAATTTTGTGCTCTACTGACACCTGGTGTTCACTCTATTGAGTGTTAACTTTGATGGTTTTATTGTCCAGTAATTGAATTCGTTGGTCATCTCAAATGACACTGCAATTCACAATCCAGCATATTTAACTTCAGAGAGAATTCCCGCCACTATTCAAAGAACAGTTCATTCCAGGAACAACAAAAAATCTAGTGAGTGGATGACAGGACTTACATTTGAGAAATTCCTTCGCCCATTTACTTTGATATAAGTGCTCAAGTCTCAGGATATCTGTTTAAAGAGAAAAATACACAGAATTAGTGCACGCCGTAATGTTGGTTGATTTGTTAAGAGACTTTCGACTGTCGACATGATGATGCGCATATATTTTTTATTGTCAGTTTGACGTTCATCTTTGTAATTCTGCGCTCTCTTCCTTTCAAGTTAACAAAGCGCTTTCTAGTTGTTTGCTGGTCTTGCATGTTGAAGAAGTCTTGTGAACAATATTTACTGGTTATGTTTTGCACCGTGAGCAACCCTGAGCAGCACAATTATGCCTGTCTAGTTTATTACTACTTTATCTAGGCATATTCAGCTTCAAATCAAAAATAGGTGAAATTTTGTGCCTTAGATGAGTACTTTGAAACCATTATATGACGAGATTCCTGTGTGTTTGAGTATCATTTTTCAAATCACTGTAGTTTTCAGGGAATATGCTATTCACTAAAAAGCCGGCTACTGTTAAAGTTACTGAAGAAGTAGTCGCTAGGAGTTCTGCAAACTAATTCACATCCATCTTACAATTTCTAAACATTAATGTTGTTCTACACATGCATCTAATACTTTGTCTATTCATTTTCCACTCATTCGGTTTAACGTTTTTTGTTCAACGTTGAACATGAAATTTCTGTTTAGTTTTTTCGTAACCAATCTTTATCATGCATTATCTCTTAACAGTTTCTGACCATAATGATGTCCCTTTCCAGATAATGGTAACACTTAAGTGCCCCACATTCCTCGTCCAGACTTTCGATCCACTCACAGACAAACGGCATTCACAATTAAAACAAACCGGATTCCAGTGCTGTCTTTCCACAATTGACGTGGACTATTAGGAGACGAAAGATTTCTACAGACAACTGCAAGTAGTTATGTAAACAGCACCAAACAGCGAAATCGAAATGCGGAAATGGAAACAAACAAGAAGGGAAAGTGACTCTTCCTGCGTGAGGTGAGTGAGTGGAAAAACTTGAGGCGATGGACCCTTCACATACTTCTGTGCCTTCACTAAATTTTTTGACTTCAGGTATCAATATAACATGCACAAAATGACATATGTTTCATCACTTGGACACATCAATATCAGATAACCCTCATAACAATCTCAGGAATGTGATGACTCAGCATTCTGTACATAAAACTGAGCAGACTGTAAGATGAAAGAGAATATGACTAAGGGAATAAAGACCTCGGAATAATATCTCAGTTTAACACTTCGGTAGCCTAGATGAAACCAACTTAGATGAAGCCAATGTAGCACAGCGAAGTGATGTGGCCGAGAAAAGAGGAGAAATGACGTAGACTGTCAAATAGAGCAACATCTTCGAATCGCACAGAAATACCATCAACAGCAGGCACAGTATTCCCAGTGAACATCAATCTTTCAACAATTCAGATGTTTTGAATCTTTCAATGTTATAGGAAGGCTGGAAGGCTACCGAACCAGATGGAATGCCGTTGGAAGCGCATTATCAGATATACTCACGCAACTGTTGCATAATGTTTTGGTTGAAGGAATGTAACTAGGTGTTGGGAGAGAAAGCCTGCCTTGTGCAACTATCTGAGAAGGGCGTTTTCGCTTCTGCGAGTACTCGACGAGAATCATGATTCTGTCCAATCCAAGCAAAATATTAGCTCGTGTCATTCTGTAGGAAATAAATGATTTTGTGAATGCTACATTCCCGCAGTTACAAGCTGGATTTGGATAAATCTAATTATGAAAGGATCAATTCACAAGGCCACGCTTCATAATCGAAGAGAGTACAGGATTGTTATCAAATATCTACCACAACTTCATCGACTAAGTAGCAGCATTGGAAACTGCGGAGTGCAGTGCCCTGAATAGCTACGTGAATGTGGCGAATGTCAAGAGATCCGCAACGGAAAGCTCAGTGAGGCTGGTCACCGATGATACTCTTGGTTATGCTTTACTGGATAGGGTAAAATAAGCTGAGCAGGAAAAGAATGAACATACTCAGGTGAGACAAGTAAACCCAAGAACGTTTGAACTACACCGATACTTTATGTTTTTGTTGCCACAGAAAGTCGAAGATTTGCAGATGAAGACTAACACGTTGTGAGAAGAAGCAGCTGGCGAAGACACGTCTTCAGCAGCAATAGAAGAAATAAGTGATGAGTAAAACTTACCAGCCATTCAACAGCAATACAAGAAGATTGGTGAAAACGTAACATCAGCTGTGGTCAAGAAAGCAAGACAAATTTCTTTGTTTTCAAATCCGTAGGTGAGTTTTTCCACCCAATATAAGGAACGCGATATGAGTCTTCAAAACTGACGTCAAATCAGTGATTATACATGAACCTACTGCCCAATAAAAAAGCCAATGGAAATGTTGGTGGATGATAAATGCGTTTAGGGGACTGTTGACTGATATCACACGCCAGCTCATTTAGTACAACATGAATGACACATGAGAAGGTGAGCTGTGGTGTCATGCTGGAGATTATGTGTGCGGAAAATGGAAGTTAATTCTGCACTAGTGCAGCCAGCCAGAACGGAATGCAGAGAGGATAATGGTATGAAGGTGTGCAGTTGAGGTCCTATGTTGTACTTGAAACACAAGAGAGTTACAATAATATTAATCTGAAAAAGAATCTCACAGCGGCTAAGCCAGCAGCCGACAAGACGAAAACTCACACACTTTTCCCAGTCGCAATCGGTCCAACAAATATCCCATTCATACAAAGAATCTTTCAGTACGCCCCCAAGTGAGTTCCAGGTGTTCAGTTATGCGCTTCACATCATTAAAGAGCAATGAAAGTTTGCGCAGGAAAGTGAGTACGTCCTTATTGATGCAAAATGTTTCGTGTCACACCCTACACAGGTGTTATTTCAACCATCAGAATCAGTCAGTGTTGTTCTCGTACCACAGATGTTATCATCCGTGGACCAGGAGGTACATTCCATCTTTGTCACTTGATGACAAACAAACGAATGCTTAGTCATCCTCAAAACGGGCCACAATTGTGCATCACTGATTCATTAGAATGCATGAAATACAACATAATCTATTGGTCGAATAAAGATCTGATCATATATTTATGGCTCATATTTATTTGCAGCCATGTAGATATCTTGATAAAATTACTCACCACTTTTAATTGTTTCTTCTGCATTCTGGAGATCTACGTTTGTCTGAAGTTCAGTCAAAAGAACTAAAAGAAACAAACGTTTGAAGTGTGATTGACTAAAAGTTCTGATGGACTAAATGTTCACCTCAAGACAACGTGAAATAAAACTTTCTGTCTATGTGTAACTAATTATTCATGAAGTGTGGCTGGTCTCTGTACATTTACTTTTTGCAAAATCTGCCGGTAACCAGTACTGAGTGATTGGGCCTTTCAGTCTCAGGCACAATACTGTCCAACTGATATTCAACTGATCTCAGTCTGTAATATACACATGGATAATTCCACCGAGAGATTATCAAGTTTACCGAAATAGGTGGGGCACTTTAACTCACTTTGAAGCACCGGTTTCCTGCTCCACTTTACAATAATGATTTGCAAGTCACTTCTTCGAAATTCGATGAAGACGTGAAGTTGCGAAAGAGATTTTAAAAGCTTCTCAGTATTGTCAGTGACTGAATTTGTTGATAAGCTGTCTACGAACTAAGGCGAGCAATATGAGTAGTAGGAGGAAGTGAACACTGATCGTTATAAGATAGTTTAAAGTCAAAAGATAACCATAAAATAATTTTTGATGAAGTAATCACATACATTTATCATTCACAACTTGACAGTATGAATCTGCGTATGCGTCAAGTCGTAAATTCTGATCATCTGAAATAGAGAAAAATATTTCCCTCGAGGTAATTAATTGACTCTTCATGATTTACTAAGTAAAACATAGACACAAAAATGAAGCTGTCCCGTATGATGAAATAAAAGGCGGAATAACTGCTTCTTGCTGAAGACGTGATATAAGAAGTCAGATAAGTGGCGGATTCAACTATTTCTGACGTCCACGAACTAACAACAGGTATCTGTCTAATCAAATGTTATACTCATCTCCAATGCATTAAACTGCTTATAAGTGAAACTGCCCTTGCTTACATAATTTGTCAGAAGATGTCTACATCTCCGAAAATAATCAAAAATGCGATGATGTTGTCCTGAGTTTCGATCAAATTCGCTTCATGAATGAATGACAGACAATCAGTTAAATACATCAGAATGTCTTTACAATGATTATTAACATAAATGCAGAAAATCCACCACCAGTGGCTTTTGTGAGCTGAGGCCTATTACAGTCCCAAATGGCAGTTGAGGCGTACGCCACAAAATGTTGTCACAGGTCACTGTGAACGAAAACCAAGAAACAGATAGAATTTATCAAGCTGGGAAATGGACAGCAGACTGGAAATCTGATAAGCAGAAGTAGAACTGATATTCCGCTGCAGGATTTAGGATCAAACCAACTTTTGTGAAGCATTAAGGAGATATTCCACAAAACCGTCTCCGACAGATATTAATAATCTGTCACTAAAACACGTATTACATGGAAGACACGATCACTGTAACAAACTGTGGCGAACCCTTACAGTAAGCAATAAACAAGTTTTTATCATATGAAAATAGAATTTGAGACAAGGGTTCGAATAAGAATCAGGTGGTTTCTGTAAAGAAAAAGCACACCTTGCGGAAAAGAACAAAAATATAACTTAAGGAATTATTCTTTGCTTTAGATGTAACGGCATTGAGTGAAGTGTCATTCAACGAACTGAAATTTACTTTAGCCAACATAAAGCTACACTCAGAGAATGAGAAATAAGCGTGCAAACCATACAGCAAGAAAAACCTTTCTAATGACGATGACTGACTCTATACAGTTCTAATTAAAATTGAAACTGCTGTCTTGTACTCCCCAGTTTTCATTGGTTCTCTAACTGATATAAATCTGTGATCAACTCGTCAAAAATGAATTCAATCCTTTCAAACCAACTAATGAATATATTTATTTGTATTAATTTAAATGTCTGTTTATAGTTTTTTATGTCTGTTTCACTACCTCTCCATCTTTCTGTACATGATTTCAATTGGCGAATTTATTCTCTTATGTTTCCAGGTATCGAGACTGACTCACTCGCCACACATTTACATTCGTGAGACCGAGAGTTTGAGGATGAGTAGAACAGTGACAAGTAAGCCTGATGTTAATCAGCACACAATACTAACAGTGCGAAGTTTAGTCATCACATGTCTTATCCAAACGGTCAATAGGCTAAAGCTTCGAGAAAGATTGTGAGTAAATCCAGCTGTGGAGACATTGTACAGTTTAACTTGAGTTGTATAGAATTAATTCAATTACAGGAAATCCCATAAATGTCTCGCAACTTTCAGTTAATTCTTTTTAGATTGATACTCCCTCAAACCTGACTGATGATTTGATATTCACATTTGTATTGTAAATGGAGGTGAGTTCGGAAGTCTTGCTAATTGAGGTATTTAGGTATTCAGATCGAATTGAATTTACTTCACTGTAGATAAGATAATCAAAAGAGGAAGTCGAACTCTTCCACATACACATTTCAAGAAATCAATGGAATTTATTTGCATTAGGTAAAATGATTTCTTGGCTGAACTGAAATACTCAGATTTCAGGTCTAATACTAGTCATTTTTGATTAATTTAAGTGCAGAACTGACATTGTTTTAGAGCATTATTGAAAATCATCTATTTCTCCGTAGTATAGGACTCTTCAACAGTATTCATCTGTGACTTCACTAGAGACCTAACCTTTCAGATTATGAGGCTGGCGCGCTGATCATTCATTCATTGACTTGAAATCCACTGGCACAGGGATTCTTACGTTTGCTAATCTGCTATTATAGTCCTACTATCAACCAACGCCTTCACGGATATTTAGATCACAAAGAAACAACCATTCAGGTGATCAATTACCCTGTATCTAATTTAAATTCATAGCCTAATCTACTCTAAAGTTCATCTCTAAATAGTTATAGTGATGGGTAATTATATGTTGTAAATAAAGTTCAGAAAAGTTTGATCAAAATGTAAAACTACAATAAACAAAAGGATAATATTTGAACAATTTTTTTTAAAAAGGATTAATAATCAACTTACATTCATTAGTTGCACTGTCATTAGACAAAAGGAGTAGAAGGCAAATTAATGCCTTCAGTAGTAAATTTTGCATGATTGGAAATCTCTCGTCAGTGTTTGTTATGAGTGTTATCTACTGCAAAATATTCTTGTGACCAAATCTCTCCAATATAGCCTTATTATAGTTATACATGGACACACACTAATTATGTATATGGTGTACATATGTGTATCACATTTTTGTGTTCACCTATCTAAAGATGTCGCTATATGTAACCAGTAGCACGGCATACTACGTAGCATATAAAATCAGTCAGTAGTTCATTGGTTACAGAAGAAAGAACAACATTACATTGAGTTACAGTTACTGTTGCTGTGCATGACTATCATCCATGTGAAAGCAAATCAACCAATCCTTTCTCACAGAATGGACTCATGTTCATTAATATATCAAATTGAGAGGATTTTTCAAGGATTAGTTTGTAGGGAGTAGCTTGATTCCCTTCAAGTTTCACCATGGATAGAAATCAGTTAGAGGACCAATGAAGAACACTGGGAACTACTGGAGATATATTTTTTTCTGTCTAGTTCGAGACTCATCGTCAGTGCTGCTCATTGGAGTACGGATCCAGGACATTCCGGTTGCAAAGGAAGCTTACAAAGTATTCAGCCACAAGGATCCAACCCAATGGTCACTGCAAGAAATCTAACGATTGGTTAATTTGGCACAATCTCCGTTGGATTCGTACAGCCGAAGTTGGTTATCAGTGCTTCGCTGACTGATATCAGTCGATAGTCAAACTTGAAACTAGTGAAGTTTTATTTTATTGTATATACATGGTAATCATTCCACTACAAATTTGCGAAAGATTATGGTTACAAATTCAAAAGACGCATCTACTGAGAAATTTAGTTCAAATAAGGATTCAATTGCATTAAACTTTGACTAATTATATGCTTAATATGATGTGTCAATAAATTTATTAATTACAATTATATTTCAATAGTTCACTGACAATGATTTTGTTTTGGTAGTTTTGCTTGAAATAATGTCAAAACAAAAAGCTTATCATACTGCGTAAAATATTCAAACGTACCACTAATGTATTTGATTGATTCCGCCAAAGAGAAAGGTTCTAATGGAAGTAAACTAATTTTCAAAACTGATTAGCCTACAAAATTCATCATTAAAATTTTTGTGCTGACCTGTACTGCTGAGACAGATGGCTTTAGCTGAAGCGACACTGTCAATCATCCATGCCACTTTAAGACGCTGCTGTTTAATGATTAGTTATGTGTGCACTATTTCTAGTTGATTAAACGCGCATAACCCCCAAGCCTTTTTTCCCCTGAAATCCATTCATTAAATTTGGTGATCAGATATTTGTCCCGGCTCCGTCTTCCTGCAGACCTACTGTTCAATTCGGGAGATATATACTTGAGAATATATGTTCATGTGTATCTTATGTAGTCATCAACAGCAATCATTCCCATTTCACGTTAACCATCGTTAGCCTCCTGTTAACCATTTCAAATCTTTAGAAATTTACGCATATTCCCACGTTAATCTAATTATAAAACATAATTTGTTTACGTGAAAAGCGTTTCGCTCGAGAATTGTATACGAATACAAACTGGTCAGCAATGGTAACTTGAGATAATATGGTGCCAGGGCGATTGTCTTTCCTGTGCTATTTCATCCAGTTTGAAAGATATGATGATACAGTTTCCTAGAATGACATTTCGAAGAATTCTAGGAAACTGGTTTTTACTTAGTCAAAATTGAATGTTATGTTGTATGGCCACGTTTCTACTCATGTATCAAATTCTGCTAAAATACTATAGAATGACGTCATTAGCAGACTGTAAAAATGCGTTGCAGCACCTCAACATAATTTAATACATCAATGAATCGAGGTAATCATGGCCGGGAATGTTTGAGTTGCAGCATGTTGACATGTGGCATTTAGATAAATTACAAGTTAGAAATGATCTTTCGATACGTTTATGTGACAAGTAAAGTCATTCAACAAAGTTCTGGATCAGTTGAATTTCTCAAAACTTTACTGCCTGACATATGTTAGCGATACAGTGTGGATCCTAAATATCTATTACCAACACCTCCTAGTGAGCAGAGTAGGAGGGCTAAAATCATTCTATTCGATACAGCCTTACATTAATTAGTGGCACGAGACATAGCTACAAAGCTTTCGGCTGACTGCTTCTAACAATCTTACCACAACAGTTTTGTCTGCATCGTGATGGTGGTCCACCTAACATGATGGTTTCATTACAAACTCTACTGATGGAACCCATTCTACAGCAAACGCAGGAATAGACACATGACGGTAGTTTAAGTGCAACCAAAAGAAAAATTTCATTTACCATGCTTGGTCGTGCAAATACTACATTGCAATTCTGGTTCGTAATGTTGCTGATCTTTGCTGCTCGCTCCACAGGTCGTAAAGCCTCTTAAACAAATTTTGAGGCCCATCCGTACAGCTGTAATACACATGCAAAGCCATTTTATACGCAATTTGTGAATTATTTCTTCAAAATTAAAATGCATTTCAACCTTACACATATTTTCATCATTACAGATATTGTCTGGGTCACTAAAACCATCATAATTACCATTTTTGTTAGGAAATTTGATAACAACCTGTTAATTTCTAACCAATAAAACGAAATTTAATCAGACCACGAGGTCCCAATTTCAAACGTGAATTTTTCTTATGCTAGGAATTACACGGCTGGCCTGATATTTTGTGACCTGAACTTTGAATAACTGAACTCATTCCGTGATGATCAATAAACACAAAGCAAATTAATATAGGATGGAATATCCCACATTTATCCACATTTAAATATAGCGATGAAATTGTTTACTGTGCTAATTTTTCCATATGATGAGGCACCTGATCAGAGGTAGCATTCACGAATTATTTCTCAGTATGTGAAATGCTTCATATCCAGGAAACCTAAAGTTTTTGTTAGAGCGCGGCATCAGGATGACAGAGCAATTATGTTGCAGAGAAAAAATTCAGCTTTTAATAAACGCAATACTGTCTCTGTTACGTCTGCTGGTTATTGTTATGGCACAACCATTAGTTATACGTTTTATGTGTTTGGTTACAGATGTCAATCAGGATTGAATTGAAGCTGCTTCCGTTGTACGCAGAAATCAAACTCAAGATTCTGAATGGAATCGATTCGAATGTGATAAATGCATTCAGATGATTTAATAGTGATAATACATCCTTATCTAGTGTGCATCTGAAAGGCACATTGTGATCTTTGTATCTCTGTGGCGTTACCTGCTGTAAGCCAGCACGCGTTTTCTCGAATTCGATTGAAAGGCTGCACATCTACCACAGTGGCTGAAACTGTGGTGTAGTCGCATGCATAATCCTTGAAATTCCTGAGTCCATCCATGTATCAAGATTTGTACGAGCTGACAACAGTCACATTAAGCTACTTTATTCGTGTAACTATAGGCTACAGCTGTTAGTGTGATTTCTACTGTGATATTATTCTGATATATGGGTAGAAATGGAGGCTGCCTTTCTTAACTCAGTTGGGCGAAACCATTTAATCATTCATGATCACAGGTTGAATCACTATATTTTACCCTCAGTCAGAGAATATCATATAGAGCAGTGAAATATGACACGTACGTCAAGGGCAGGAATCACAACCATGAGATAAATCTATTTCGGTTTTCTGCTCGCGTTCACCTAACGGTGCTTATGTCACCTCAGAAATGAAAATCTGACTGAATGCAGTTCTTATACTTATCTTCATGATGTAAAATTGGTCATAGCGCACATTACATTTGGGTGCAGATGGGATAAACTATTTTGATTTCGGCATTCTCGCAGTACTTGTTTATCGTCAAGTTTTGATGATGTCTGACCGTTACAAATAAGCACTGAAAATGAACATCTTACAGCTTTGTAGAGATATTACTTTCAAATAAATGAGTACCAAATAGATTCAGAAACAAATTTCAGTGTTAAATTTTCAAAATGATATTTTTATAAAAGAAATATGAATCAGGATTTTGAAGCAGGGCCAGTCAATAATAATAATAATAAAATAATCTTACAGCTTTGAAACAATGTTACATCATGTGTGAAATATGATGCGATACTGCTTTACATTTTTCCAGTTTGATACTTTTGCTCAATAGACATAATATTTTCTTCGATGAAATAGAGTAAATTATATTATGCATTTAAATATTAGATTACCTTAAAGCTGCCACAAAATTCATTGAATGATTTGATACTTGTGAATCATCCAACTAACCAAATGACCGAATATTCTTCAAAGCGATTATGTGCATCGGAGGATGGTTTCATGTCTGCACTAAAAATAGACCTTGATAACCTTTAAATTTTGTCGAAACAAGCTTTCGATGTGCGCGTTGCAAAAATTAGTGGGTTTTCATTCTAGTAGGACAACTCTATGAACAAATAAACCCACACCATACAACTGTATATGCTAAGAAGTACAGCAGTGCACACGTGGAGATGGACACTAGAGATTGTTTATGTATGTCTCAGAGGACATCACTACTCTGCATTAACACTAAAATGCATGTTCTTTTTCTCACATTTGTAAGCAGAAGTCACTCTCCTTACTTGAATTAAGGAAAAAAAAGTTTCCTACCTGCAAGCATGACTAACTGTCAATAATGTTGAAGTATTCATCACTTACGATCTAAGTCTGTGAATTAAAACCAGCACATAAGCCAAAGCAACGATTTACGCCTCTAAAAAGAGCGACTCCAGCTCTTAAGTTGAAGAAAAAGATGCATTACACTGATAGTCAAACATTCGGTTAAACATCATTATCTAGTACTCAGGAGTATTCCTTCATATTCAAGTACCGACGATTAATGAATGAAAAATGATATGACGAGACTATAGTTCCTCTCGTTAATACTGAATGCCTATTTTACTTTTAAGACGGGTATTATGTTTCAGATGCATCCAGAGGACGATGCAGCACTCACCTGCTTGTAAATTTTGCGCTCTTTAATCTTGAAGATAAATACAAAAATAATGTGATGATGTAAACTCAAAACTGTTTTCTATTGAATACAAACTGTGCAGAACTGACAAACGCCAATCTTGAAAAACATGATCCATTAATGGAGCTACTATTCCGTGATAATTTATTTTGCAGATGATTTCACTCCTTAATCATTCTTCCATCTTGTGTAAT